ATAAACCTTAATTCTCTATTTTATTTATCTAGAACGAAAAAATTCTAAAACTCCAAATGATTTTTGTTCTCGAAACCTAGCCAAAGTTTAGTAATGACATTTACAACCTATTACAAAATGATTTATAATCCTACATTTGTAACTTTTTTTCACAGAGCTATCACACTATTTCCAGTTATAATGAAAAATATATAAAGAACAAAGCTGCCTAAAATGTTATCAGTCAGCACATTTTTACCGAGGTAAAAAAAATGTTATCTGTTTCATTGGATCTGAAAACAAAACAAGTTTTTAATGGCGATAGCGAACGAGAATTATGGCTGGTTATACAGCTAGATAATCTTGTAATACTTCCAATGCAAATACACTTTTTAACCTCGTAAGTGAATTTATTTTATTGTGTTTTTTATAACAGTACAAAAAAATATAATTGGGAAATCTCATTAAAAAACTTGAATATAAAGTGAAATAAAAAGCTCCTTCTCAAATGGATAAACTGTTATTTTCTCACTAAACTATATTCTTTCTAGTTTGTCTTCTTCTTGTTCTATATTTTTTGTTACGATTTAAAAGGCAAAAAAAACGTTAATTAGGATTGGTCATATCGTCAGATGGCGTCCATAGATAGTGGCTCTGTAACTAATGTTAGTTAACAAGTCAAGAGATCGATCACCAAGTTTCGTGTTGAGATACACGCAAACCTTTCACCCAACAAATTGTATTCCAAGCTGAGGTTGTTGGTAAGTAGATTTCGTCTAGAACCCCCAAACCGACTTATCTGACTACAATAACTTTATATTTGGAATCTAAAACTTTATCGTAAGGTTGAGCATAAACACGACATTCAAGATCATTTTTTGAAACAACACCTTGATCACCAACGATTAACTCCTCGTTTCAGTTATATTTTTCTAATTTCATGTATATAAAGCACATACGTACAGATAATTGTCTTGACAGCTGACAGTATTTATTATTGTAAAAAAGCCAAAGAACAAAAGAGAAATGCAGCAGACTCGACCAATTAAAATGTTCTGAATATTATCCAATTTGGTAACAATCATATTTATCAAAGCCGTAGAAAACATACAATATCATTCCCCTCTTTAAGTAAAAGTTGCTGAAAGCTAAATAGCCGAAAGTAAACAGCTGTCCATACGACACGTCTAGTTTAATCAGTTTTAAGCCTCGAGGGCTACTTTCGGCCAATTGCCTGAATGGTAAGTGTATGTTACTACCTAACGACTTATTAAAGCTAGCCCTGATTCCATCCTGAATCATTATCCACACTCACCTGGCGTATAGGTTTCTTTGATCTCACTTTCCTTCATTCTCTTCTAGTTAATTTGTTACAGGCTCCACGTCTTATTGCTATAACCACTTCAATGTTTTGTTAGCAATTCGTTCATCGGGCAAACTTGACGAGTAGTATTGATTTAAAGACTGAAATAAAAATACTTACATCGTAAAGTAACACACATTCATCTATATACAATTTGTGGGTAGATAGTGTAATGATAGTTATTTCTTTTACTTTAGATTAAGTATAAAATTGTATATCAATTATACAAAGGCTTAATGGAAAAACAATAGATTTTGTTTTTGCTATAGATTAAGTATAAAATTGTATATCAATTACACAAAGGCTTAATGGAAAAACAATAGATTTTGTTTTTGCTATAGATTAAATATCACATTTGGTATAAACTATACATACTTGACTAGATGGAGTAACAATAGTTTTTATCTTTTACTATACATTAAATATCACATTTGGTATAAATATACATACTTGGCTAGATGGAGTAACAATAGTTTTTATCTTTTACTATACATTAAATATCACATTTGGTATAAATCTACATACTTGGCTAGATGGAGTAACAATAGTTTTTATCTTTTACTATACATTAAATATCACATTTGGTATAACTATACATACTTGGCTAGATGGAGTAACAATAGTTTTTATCTTTTACTATATAAAAGATAAAAACTATTGTTACTCCATCTAGCCAAGTATGTATAGTTTATACCAAATATTATATTTAATGCTATACATTAAATATCACATTTGGTATAAATCTACATACTTGACTAGATGGAGTAACAATAGTTTTTATCTTTTACTATACATTAAATATAATATTTAGTATAAACTATACATGAAAACATCCTTTTATTTCTTGCTTCTTGAAAACTTAATTATTTTTGGTGTAAACCGAGTGACTATTTATTGAGATAAACGACTATTCATTTTCACTCTTTTCGCGTGTCTTCATAAAAATTATTATTATTTGTAAACCTTGTGTCACGATTATAATACCTCTAATTACATTAAAACAATGATTTTAAAATTATTTTTTAATATATAATAATTTATACGTGAGAAATTAATTAGCGCTAAACACTAAGAAACCTAAATAGGTAAACACAAAGAACAAAATATGCTCAGAATTTGTTAGATGTTTTTTGTGGGTTTTTTTAAACACCGAAAAACATAAAAGTTAAGCTATGTTTCATGTTAAATGTATATATATATAGTCTGTAATTAACAAAGTGAAAACTGAAGCCGGATTTGATTTGGACCCGTGTCTTTCCTTTCTAAGCAGATGCTTTAAGCCGAGGAATTACCGACGCCAGTTTTATGGACCCTGCTGGATTTTTAACGCCTTTTTTTCTAAACAATTTATGCACAAAATTGTTTGTAGATTACTGATAATATACATGACTAATACAAAAAAAACTGCAGAGATTCACTAAGTATTTTACATGAAAAACTAATGATTTCACCCCTTTCCTTATCAGTTCTTTACACCGAGTCTTGTAACAAGCACAACCAAATACTAATATGGTTATCACTTTATATTTCAACATTTTAGGATTGGTTTGAATTTCGCGCAAAGCTATACGAGGGCTATCTGCGCTAGCCGTCCCTAATTTAGCATTGAAAGATTAGAGGGAAGGCAGCTAGTCATCACCACCCACCGCCAACTCTTGAGCTACTTTTTTACCAACAAATAGTGGGATTGACCGTCACGTTATAACACTCCCACGGCTGAAAGGGCGAGCCTGTTTGATGGGACTGGGATTCGAACTCGCGACCCTCAGATTGCGAGTCAAGCGCCCTAACCACGTGGTCATGCCAAGCCATAAAAAGTTTTAGGATTTTCATTTAAAGTTTCAAAAGGTTATTTGCGCATGACTGCTTCCAATGTTTTTAGCCAATAGACTAGAGAGAAGGTACCTACCTAGCCAAGAGCAACAACCGCTAATCCTAGCGCAACCTCTTATTAATTAGTGGAATTTAACTGTCACTCTTATAGCACCCACATCCCGTTTTAGCGGGAATGGGACGCGAACCATCAATCCTCTGATTCACAATCCGAGCATACTAGCTTCTAGACCATGTTTGGTCCTCGTTGGTTATAAAAGAAGATAAAAAATGACAGGGTTCCTGAGCTGTGCAAATCGGCCTACGCAAAAGGTGTTTGATATGAGAAATATGAAACTTATATAACCAGGACAAATGTAATCCACCAAAACTGTTTTTATATAAGGGTTAACATTTATGCATATCGTATTATAAGTAGAAAAGCTATATTTGGGGCAAATGTATTTTGTAAGTTTATCTGTGATTACTCCAGTTTGTAAATGCTAATGAACTAAAAAGAAAATAATACAGAAATATACTTGCCCTACGGCTTTCATACTATTTGGGACCTTCGTTTTATACCTTTCACTGTACAATGTCATTGAACCATATTTGTTCATGTTATACATTTTAATACGATTTAGGTAATTAAACTTTGAACTGGTAACCTTTTTCAAGAACAAAACAATGTATGGCATATCCATATTTCTAATATTGTACTATCAATAATGTTGTACTAGTGCTCATAACTTATACTAATAATTGGACTCAATAAAATAAAAGTTTCTCCCTGAATCTACTTGTATACGTGTTTAACTTACAATCTTTTAATCTCGTACAGAAATCACTGGTTATTATTTTTAGAGGCACCAATTGCCAGACTGTATTCTGATTTTTGCTGTAAATCACCATAACCGGTATTCTTTTTTAATGGAAAATATTTCATTCTTTACTATAGTAACTAACTTAGACTTGATTTTATTTGCTAATACTGAATAACTTCAGTAACGTATATTATTCTCTATTTCATCGGAATTGAGTCATTATAACTTGTGTCGTCCATATCATGGGTTAGAACAATCGTGAAAAAATCATTTACGATAGTCGGTGTAATCTTCGAGTACTGACAACTGTATGATATACAGCTAGAAAACAGAGATAATTTTTCCTCTTGAACCGACGTCAACGCACGTGAATTCACCTGCCGACGTGTTCCACGTGAGGTCACAAAGGCGGAGAGCTATTGCTACTGCCACTGTTTAACTCGAGTCAGGCGCGAGAAAAATTATTCACGCAGAGGGCTCGAGCCTCCAATGGCACGCGCACTGAACCGAAAAGAAACAGCTGCCCTTTCCTCATACTTTGGTCTCTCGGACCTTAATAGCCAGAAATGTCCTCCTCGGCTATGGAGTTTTATTTTATATATATGCATGAGACGACTCGTCCCATTTTCCCGAAGTGTCCCGCCTTGGCTTTGGGCGATCATCTGGAGCACCTCATGCCCCCGAAGGCTAGAGCTAAGAGGGCGGGGTGGGCTCAGCGTGCCAATCATTTGGCGGCAGAGCACCAGTCCCAGGCAAGGAGGAGCCGGGATGGTCACCCTCAAAACTTGCACTACTGGAAGAACAGGTCAAATGTGTCCACGAACAGAAGTACTAGGGTCCTTTTTAGGCACGTGCTCTTAAGTTACGTGGAAGATATACTATAGATTTAGTTGAATGGCTAAGGAAATGGAAATTTTTATCTGTCTAGGGACATTTAATTTATAGACATTTCTTGTACTTTAAACAAGTATTTACATTTTACTTTGAGACTTTTATTGCATGGTTTTGGCGACTGTTCCACAATGGAGACCTGTGTTCTTATCCCACCAGAGTTTAGCCTAGTTTTGAGCACCATGAATACGGAAAAGAATTCTAACAGCTTGTATGAAATGGGTGTCAAAGTGTGGAGTAACCAACTGATACCACAAGGAACCACGTTTTCTCCATTCCAAGGCACAATACGACTTGATAGACTAGAAGTATACAGTGTTCTTCATGACAATGATGTAAGTATACATTATTCTGGGTGAAAAAAGTATCAAGTGATAGCTTAAAACTGAACGTTTACTCTATATGTCACTTTTCTTAATACATATTAACCCTGCACGCTAATTTTCTTAACACATGTTAACTATATACTCTAATTTTCTCCTTTTCTTAAAATATTCAGTTTGAATAAGCGTGTTTTGGGAGTTATTCAGCATTTCTGCAACACGTTTACAAGTTTTACTACTTTTGTTAATTACAATAAAATAAATGAATAAATTAGAAAACAGAATTGATAAAAAAAAACACAAGTTATCCAATTTATAACTGTTCATTTATTTGGTACTGACCAATCCCTCCCCATAATAACCAGTCATAAATTATTAAATTCAATACAAATTCTTCATTATTTGGTGCAGGCCCACCTTTTTTTATTCTTTGATAATAACTAAGCGTTCTATAATTCATTACTTGGTTGACCCATCTATTTTTTCTTGGATAATAACCAATCATAACTGACCCACCTAATCATTCTCAAGTTCATAGATATTATTTATCATTTGGCTGACCCATTCTTTTTTCCCCTTTATAATAACTAATCATAACTTATCTGATTCATACATATTCTTCATTATTTGGTGATGACCCATCTATTGTTTTTCCTTGATAATAACTAATCATAACTTATGTGATTCATACATATTCTTCATTATTTGGTGATGACCCATCTATTGTTTTTCCTTGATAATAACTAATCATAACTTATCTGATTCATACATATTCTTCATTATTTGGTGATGACCCATCTATTGTTTTTCCTTGATAATAACTAATCATAACTTATCTGATTCATACATATTCTTCATTATTTGGTGATGACCCATCTATTGTTTTCCTTGATAATAATAATCATAATTAATATCTATATATTCTTCATTATTTGGTGATGACCCATCTATTGTTTTTCCTTGATAATAATAATCATAATTAATATATACATATTCTTCATTATTTGGTGATGACCCATCTATTGTTTTCCTTGATAATAATAATCATAATTAATATATATATTCTTCATTATTTGGCGATGACCCACCTTTTTTATCCCTTTATAACAGCTAATCATGGGTTGTCCAATTCATACATATTCTTCATAACCTGGCGCCAGTTCTTTACGCACGTAATTGTTTAGATAAAATAAACAGTAAAAGATTTCTAAATTGTGAAGTTTTATGCTGATTTGCATTTAATGCTTTCTCTTATACTTCACAAGATGGTTAAAGGTGAAATAATCTTATGATTGAATAGGTAGTTAAATGTTTTCAAAGTGGAACTCTTGTCGTTCCTTTTAAGTTGCCCCCCAATGGCACAGCTGTATGTCTGCGGACCTATAACGCTAGAAACCGGGTTTCGATACTCGTGGTGGTCAGCGCAAAGATAGCCCATTGTGTAGCTTTGTGCTTAACTACAAACAAATAAATAAATTCCTTTTAAGGACATTAATTAAGCGCTAATTCTAAAAGTTGGCGTACAAATTTATGTAATTAATTTAAGCACATTGTATATGCGTAAGAATCTACATATTTTTTCACAACAGAGAAGCATGTTGCGTGCAAAAAACATTTCCCAAAACGGTTGGGTATAATTGCGCCAAAACATTCCAGAACTTCAGCAGCGTAATGTAGAACAAGTCTTGCGGTAAATGACCTGCATAATTATAATTTGAGTGTGTCATGATGAGATACCGAGATGCACCGTTGGTAGACTTGTTGACGAATGTACACCGGACATAGGAGGAACTGCGTGCAATGCCGCTCTTAAATTTAACTCCGCAATTCTCGTGATTTACTAGCTGTATAAGGTAGCCTAGATTAAAGTAGGCATGACGTACCGTTTTTAGGGTGTAATAGAGATCCTAACACGTGGTTAGGGTAAAGAAAAACAGACTAAGTTGTGTGAGTGAGGAGGTATCTTTAACTTGTAAATGAGTACAGAAAAAGATCTGCAACACTGATACACGTAGGACCTTGTTTTAAGTTAGTAATTAAAAAGAAATAAAAGAAAACATTAAAGATTAACTATTACGTAGAAATTGCACGTGCATATCGTATTGTTTATCATACGCATTATTGCCCAGCATAATTCACACATTATTCACAAGTGTGACTCGTGTATTATTGCCCAACAGAACTCACACATTATTCACAAGTATGACTCGTGTATTATTGCCGAGCATAACTCACACATTATTCACAAGTATGGCTCGTGTATTATTGCCGAACATAACTCACACATTATTCACAAGTATAACTCGTGTATTATTGTCGAACATAACTCACACATTATTCACAAGTATGACTCGTGTATTATTGCCGGGCATAACTCACACATTATTCACAAGTATGACTCGTGTATTATTGCCGAGCATAACTCACACATTATTCACAAGTATGACTCGTGTATTATTGCCGAGCATAACTCACACATTATTCACAAGTATGACTCGTGTATTATTGCCGAACATAACTCACACATTATTCACAAGTATGACTCGTGTATTATTGTCGAGCATAACTCACACATTATTCACAAGTATAACTCGTGTATTATTGCCCAGCATATCTCACACATTATTGTTGTCATTAAATGTACATCGTATTACGTAATAATTTTTAACCGTTTATTTTTAGACTGAAAACATTTTCAAGTAACGTCTAATCGAATACTTTAAAATCGGAGGTTATTTTGTTCTACTCTAACTTGATGTCAATAAAGATATTCACAAAGTGGATGGAATGCATTAGCCTAAATAATTTAATAATGTACCGATCAAATATTTACCTGCAAGTCTTTATTATTAGGAGAATTGATTTCGAATTTGAAAACATTCAATAGTTTTAATAAGTAAGTTTTTAGAAGTTAGGTACTGTAAAAAAAAGCGATTGTAAGTTCTACCGAATTTTGGCATCAGAATTCATTCTCGAAGTAGAGGAAACAGGCCACTTTCTATGGGCAACATACAATGTTCATAGCCATTTCAGCACAGACTAGTCCTACTAAAAACATCATCTTCAATCGAAATAAACAAGAACATCAGTAATACTTCTGCAAAAGAGGTGAACAAAAAATTATAACATTTAAACATTGACAACACGTTCAACGTACACACGGCATGATACGTCTGATTTTTTTTTCTTCATACGTCACTAATACATTCCGTCTTAATGAGTATACTGAAATTCATAACGACAAAGTTAGAACTCGCATATAAATGCAAAATACGAGCACGTGACGCAAGAAGCTTAGCAACCCTGCGATAAAGTATAAGACCCTACGTGAGTTTTAATTTTGAGCTTAGCTCCTCGTGAGAAGTGAGTGCAATAGATTAATAAGAACTTGTCACGTAATAATTCAAGAGGAGTCACGTAATCACAGAAGTCGTACACTACGATACATGCAAATCCTTCATTGTGAATGGAGATGTTCAAAATAATTAATTTCTTACTTCGTATCTATGATATTAATATCCGGTTGTTGTTGTGGTAGATTGCGGCAGGTTGATAGACAGTTGACCGTCATCATTTTGTCATTGATGTGTGATGCACCCTAACTTTGCATGATAACCGTCGAGATCATGTTATACGATTTCCATGGTAATCTGGCTCCATAAACAAGGCTTCCAGTGTACGTTGCTGCTTCGTTTCTTCTTCTTGTTTTTTTTTTACTCTAACAGAATTGTGATTTACTTACGCATACTTCGTTATGGTGTTGCCACTTTTCATTTACGCACCAGGAAATACAGATGTCAAGAAGCAAGTGTTTGGTTTACTACATCAACGCATACCTGTAGATGATGTATTTCAGCACATTCAACAATGACCCCTGACGAGAATATGTTGCCCGGTTTAGGATTCGACCGTCACTCTTATAGAGCGCGAGCGCCCCGGTGGTTCGGTGGGCTTATGACGCCAAGATTCGGGTTTCTATACCCGTGGTGAGCAAAGCACAGATAACCCGTTGTGTAGCTTTGTACTTAACAGCAACCAAACCTATAAGGTGCGCATGTCCCCAAAGTTCAGAGTGCGCTCTTGCGGCAACGGGATTCGAATCATAAATCCTAGGATCCTTTTTTTTATTATTATTCTTAAATAAGATATATCCTGTTCGCTTAAATCTCAACAATAACAACGAAAGCTACAGCAAGTTGAATTTATCAATTATTGTGGTTCACATCCGCAATTAAAAATAGGCAGCCTTTAATTGTTTGTTTGTAATTAAGCAGAAAGCTACACAATGGGCTATCTGTGCTCTGCCCACCACGAGCATCGATACCCGGTTTCTAGCGTTGTAAGTCCTCAGACATACCGCTGTGCCACTTGAAGACAGGTGGCCTTTAAAATGAAAACACATTTTGACTTAATAATGTCGTTAGTCCATCCCTTTCCTAGACAAAACATTTGTGAAAGCCTGAAATTTCGGGTACCGATTTTAATTCGTGAAAACCATTATACAACCAGCGAGTAAGATTTATATTTACTTTACTTTACTCTTCGAACAACATGTCGTTTTATTAGTGTAAGTACTTTTTATGGGAAGAATTAGCTTAGAAGAAACATTTATAAAAACTCCAGGACTTTTTTTATTATTATTACAACATTGCAGGTGCGAAACAGATTTGGTTGCTACGATCAGATCCAAGTCGTGGAAAACCGTAAAGTACGACACTGCAACTGGATCCGCTTTCTTCGATGTTCACCTACGGTGACAAGTGATGTCAACCTGGTTGGCCGAGCAAGCCGCGATGACATAACTTATGAATGTATTCGACAGGTGGCTCCCAACACCGAACTGGTTGTTCATTACGAAGAAAACCGAGAAAGGACGCATTTCTTTGGGCTTACCTCAAACCTTCTAACTAGTCCATTTCAAAGTAACGTTTGTAGACAAGCAATTGAAGGTAAGTAAAATATATTTTGTTGATATTACGAAGAAAATTCGTAACAGCTATTGACGTGCCTTATTCTACTCTCACTGCAACACAAAGGACACTTGTGCAATTCTGATATGATTTTAAACTATTCTTAAAGCCCTAAGACATAATCCTTGAGAGAAAAAATGTTTTACGTAAAGAATTACACAGTTTGAGGTTTTAACGTGAGTTGCATACCCTTACCCAACACAGTTTGGGGTTTTAACGTGTACTTTATAACCTTACCCAACACAGTTTGAGGTTTTAACGTGAGTTACATTCCTTTATCGAACACAGTTTGAGGTTTTAACGTGTGTTGCATACCCTTACCCAACACAGTCTGGAGTTTTAACGTGTGCTGCATACCTTACCCAACACAGTTTGGGGTTTTAACGTGTGCTGCATACCCTTACCCAACACAGTTTGGAGTTTTAACGTGTGTTACATTCCCTTATCGAACACAGTCTGGAGTTTTAACGTGTGTTGCATACCCTTACCCAACACAGTCTGGAGTTTTAACGTGTGCTGCATACCCTTACCCAACACAGTTTGAGGTTTTAACATGAGTTGCATACCTTACCCAACACAGTTTGGGGTTTTAACGTGTACTTTATAACCTTACCCAACACAGTTTGAGGTTTTAACGTGTGCTGCATACCCTTACCCAACACAGTTTGGGGTTTTAACGTGTACTTTATAACCTTGCCCATTATACCACATTTGATATTCACTTATTTAAACGTTTGAGACCAAATTATCGAACATTAAATCATATTCAATAATGTCCTCAGATTATAAGTTATTTCCTTTTCTCGTCTGTCTTATCCTTAAGTTTTTTGTTTGTTTTTGCTTGTTTTAAGAAACTTGAGTAACATACAACAGCTTTATATAATTACAGAATTCCTTTTATAAAATTTTAATACAAGTCATGATTACATAAGACTTCTTGGATCCAAATTATGATAATAGAAGACTTCTCATGTCTCAAATCTAGATTATAACAGTCTTTTCAGGTCTCAGCTCATAAGTATAAAATACTTCTCAGATCTCAAATTTTGACTATAAAAATTTATCACGGCCCAAAAATACTTTTCGGATTCCAAGTCATGACTATAAAATATTTCTTAAATCCACAATCATGACTATAAATGACTTCTTAGATCCAAATTCTTAACTATAACAGACTTTTCAGGTCCCAAATCATGACTATAAAAGACTATTCAAATCCCAAATATTTCTTAGATCCGAATTCTTGACTATAAAGACTTCTTAGATCCCAAATTTTGACTACAAAAATTTATCAAGGCCCAAGACATGACTATAAAATATTTCTCACATCCTAACTCTTAACCATTAAAAAAGTCTCAGATTCAAAATCTTGACTATTAAAGACTTCTCAGATCACAAATCATGACTATAATAGATTTCCAACAATGAGGGTAAAAGACTTATCAAATCCCAACTTTTGATACAAGAGACTTCTCACAACCCAAGTCTTGACTATAAAATATTTCCTAAATCCAAAACCATGACTATAAGTGACTTCTTATAGACTATAATAGACTTTTCAGGTCCCGAAACTTGACCATAGGATATTTCTCAGATCCCAGGCTAGGACTATAACATATTTATCAGGTCCCAAATATTGACAATAAAAGACGTCTTAGGTCCCAAATCTTGATTATAGCAGGCATCTTAGGTCTCAATTAATGACGATAAAAGACTTCTAAGGTCTAAAATATTGACTAGAATAGACTTCTAAAATTCCAAATCGTGAATATAAATGATTTTTCAAGTCCCAAACTATGACTATAAATATAACAAATCCGAAATATTGACAATAAAAACTACTCAAGCCACAAATTTTGACATAAAAAGACTTATCAAAAAGACTTATCTGGTCCCAAGTAATGACTATGAAACATTTATTAGGTCCCAAGTGATGACTATGAAACATTTATTAGGTCCCAAGTGATGACTATGAAACATTTATCTGGTCCCAAGTGATGATTATGAAACATTTATTAGGTCCCAACTGATGACTATGAAACATTTATTAGGCCCCAAGTGATGACTATGAAACATTTATTAGGTCCCAAGTGATGACTATGAAACATTTATTAGGTCCCAAGTGATGACTATGAAACATTTATTAGGTCCCAAGTGATGACTATGAAACATTTATTAGGTCCCAAGTGATGACTATGAAACATTTATTAGGTCCCAAGTGATGACTATGAAACATTTATTAGGTCCCAAGTGATGACTATGAAACATTTTTCAGATTCGAAATCTTGATAATGGACTTCTCGGATCCCAAATCTTAACTATAAAAGACTTCTCAGGAATTATCTTGAGACATATTTCTCAAGTTTTGACTATATAAAAGATTTCTCAGGTACCAAATTATGATTGCCACATTCACGACTGTTTATTTGAATTTCGCGCCAAGCTAACCGAGGGCTATCTGCACTAGCCGTCCCTAATTTACCAGTGTAAGACTAGAGAGAAAGCAGCAAGTCATCACCACCCACCGCCAACTCTTGGGCTACTCTTTTACCAACGAATAGTGGGATTGACCGTCACATTATAACGCCCCCTCGGCTGAAAGGGCGAGCATGTTTAATGGGAGGGGGATTCGAACCCGCGACCCTCAGATTGGTAAAAACTGAGATCGGGCGATCTCTAATTTCGTTTCTTCAGAAATAGTAAATAACTTTAGATGACGGAGGGGTCCTCTGGGCTACACCACATTCCACTCGTTACCTTAGGCTAGACTAATAATAAAATTTGAAGTCCCATTAGCATATATTTAAAATGTGTTTGCTCTAGAAAATATTTTCAATATTTTTGGCGGATTCGTATCACTTTTTATCAAATAAAAACCAGTTAGGCTTGACTACACGATCTAGCTTCTCCTGAAAAGGTTTAATATATATTTGTATACAGGTATACTGCATAAAAATTATTAGTTAATACTAATAGCTATACACAAGCCCTTGTTGTAAATCTCCAAACTGAGATGGAGCCTACAGGCTGAAAGATTCGGATGTTTGTATATTTTAGTTTTTTTCACTTAAGTTATAGGAAAAGAAAAAAGTTTATTAATATTTATTATATATCTAATAACTAGGTGTATTTCCGCGAGGTCCCCGAAAGTGTTCTGTTTCAAGAGTAAATAAAATCAAAATTATGAGTAACGAATATTTTTATTTCTTGCTTTTGAAGTTCATACGTCATGCTGTGTTGTAGCCTACAGAGTGCATAATTCTTCTCGTGATTCATGGCATGCGCACGTTTTACTAACGTCACGACAGTACAAATTGCAACCTTAAGCTTCCATTATGTGACGTCATTTTAGTGTCTACTGACTGACAGACAGATAACACACTACTGTACAGCAGTGTGAGTGGTTAAAACCGGTGACCCCTCCAGGCGACCTTCGGCCCCCTTTCGGGGAAATAACAAAACAGCTAATCTCAAACTAACTCCGCAGCTTTTATGAAATTTGCATATTTTCTTTCATGAATATATATAAACATAGATCTATGATACATTAAAAAAATACATTATATATTTTAGTTCCTATTCAGGATATGTAATAAAGCCTTCAGTGCAGTGAAGTAGACCTGTAAAAAATGTATAATTTTGTTTGTAAGAAATAATTATATAGCTATTAAAATACGTTAATACTTTATCGTTTCTTTGTTAGATCCTGGCGAACAATATAACCAAAACGATGTATACCTTTTAACAAATCATTTTATTATGCTTATAAAATCGCTTTATTATTTTTAAAGTAATAACAACATCTCATCGTTCCTTGTTTGATACACCCCCCCCCCCCGACGGCTCCACCCTAGGCCTATTGAATTATAACGCTAAAAATCGGGTTTCGACACCTGTGGTGGGCAGGACACATATAGCCCTTTATGTAGTTTTGCACTTGACAACAAACAAAAACTGTTATGCACTATTCTTTGTAAGAGATTGGAGAGCAATATTTATGAATAATTGTATTATGAATAGTATTGATTTTATTTTAACTTATGTATTGAAATGTTTTATTGTTCGGAATATGGTTGACTATGGCTTCATGACTGTGCTTACAGTATATTTAAAATGAGTTGTAGATTATTGATATTATTTTAACTTATGTATTGAAATGTTTTATTATTCGGAATATGGTTGACTATGAATGTGAGGTTGGTGCTTCATGACTGTGCTTACAGTATATTTAAAAAGAGTTGTAGATTATTGGAATTATGTTAACTTATGTATTGAAATGTTTTATTGTTCGGAATATGGTTGACTACCAAAGTGAGGTTGGTGCTTCATGACTGTGCATATTTCTTAGTTTTATTAATATCAGCTTAACAAGTACAATGAACAGTCAGTAAACTAAATAAATTCGTGTTTATTTATTTCTGAATGTGTGGCCGTGTGGTACATATTTTCTCAGACGTTTTATATCTTTCTAATTATACCTATTCAAGTCTCAATAAAAGAGAAGTTTACACGTGTAAACAGGTTTATTTAATATTTATTGTCAAATTGTCTATCATTTTAAGTGTAAATATCTTGTAAAAATAACAAATTCGTTAGACATAATGCCCCCCCCAGCGGACTTACAACGCCAGAAACCGGGTTTCGATGCCCGTAGTGGGCAGAGCACAGACAGCCCATTGTGTAGCTTTGTGCTTAACTTCAAACAAACAAACAAATACACATAGTGTTGATTTTGTATCTTACGCGAAATTTGAACTTTAACCTTTACTTTTTTAACATGTTTGCATGAAGGTATTACATCATTTCTAATTCAAGTCTGCATCTTCATTTTCAGATGTTTAAATTAATGCATTCTAAAGAAATTAGTTATTGGTATACACTTATAAACATGTTTTTTTCAATTTACAAACAAATATTTCTGTGTAGTTTGATTGAATTTCGCGCAAGCCTACTCGTGGAATATCTTCGCTAGCCGTCACTAATTTACAAGAGGGAAATGTAACCAAACTCTTAAGGTACTCTTTAGAAACGAAAAATGTGATTGACCATCACATTAAGACGCCCTCACTGCTGCAAAGGCGATCATGTTCGGTGATATAATTACAAATCGCGAAACTGTGCGTGCAAGCATTTCATTGACGAATGCAAGAAAACGTAGTTTACAAACATAATGTAATTTCTAGAATAATTGATGTTCTCGTTGATAAAACTCTGATGTTATATATATTTATAAGTTTTGTGTGTGTGTGTTATCCACTTGTTCATAACGAATAATAAATACTGTTTTATTCACTTTACGCAGAAAGTCCGTTGGATTTATCTATGTCGTTGGTGTCTTCGCCGTCTGTGACAGTTTCCGGTGATTTCGACAAACCTCACGATTTAAGTAAAAGTTCTATGTCAAGCTTACAAACGTCCCCGGATACTCCTCTCTCTACAAATGAAAACTTCGCTTGTCAGGTATTATTTTGCTGTATAAGCAGTAAAATAGTATACTTTACATCTAATAACTATTTAGTGCCAGAAATTAAAAAATAAACAAGTTTTAACAGTGTATGATACATCTATCTTCTGTTTCACCTGTTAAACCCACTAATTCCCAACCTTTATATGCCGCGCACCCCCCTGTCAAATCTTTGAGCACTGACGCATATAATTCGTTCAAACAAACTGAGATTGGTCTATATCAATTAAGGGGTAGAAGGAAAGAAGTAATTCAAGAGTGAGTCAACAATACGTGAACGTTGAGTGCTGGTTAAGGAAATACGTTTGTAATTCACCAAGACTTCCCCCAATCTTGAGGCGTGGAGTATGTTTTCTTCTTTATGTTTTTCAATACGCTTACATGTTGGGAATCACTGGTAGAATTGATATTTTGTTTTTGTTGTATAAACATTGCTTAAGTATTGCAATACAACACCTTAAATACCAATTTCGCATACCTAATATATAAGGATTTGCATAATAGAAATACAAATTTTTCCTGGATAAAAAGCCTTTGTATTTTTAAAGCTAATGAAATGTCAACTATAATTATCTGGAATAATACATCTTTCATAATGTTTTATAAATATCCATAAGACAGGGAAGGATTATATGATTTTTAGTGTATGCTTTCAAGTATAAGGACTAAATTGAAAATACATCATGTTGATTTTACATTCAAATATACGAACCTTTTTACAAGAAATGTCACATTTTATAACGGATTTAAGGACGTTTGTTAGAATCATTTATATATGTGTTTAAAATACATACAAGTTTCATTATTTGTTGCGTATTTCTGATGACATATATATATATACATACCTCACTTAAGACTACATAAACCTCAGTCGTTGATTTCAAAAATCTAACAAGCAGTTTATACAAATCGTTATCGCGGGAAAATAAAATCTATGTTTTAAAAAGGAGCACAAGTTACGCTAGGTGTACACCATGTAGTGACCGTATATTTTGCATAATTACAGCCGTACACAACAAGTAGATAAAACAGAATATAAATTTTGTTAATAATAATCAAATTCTTAAGCAAATCATCTTATGAATCCTTATTTCAAATGAACGCCTGCTTTTTTAATATGAGGTTTATCGTTGTAGGTATTATAAAGCTGTGTATCAACACTGGACAGTGGTGATAAACAGAACGTTTCACAGTGTAACAACACTGGTGATAAACGGAACGTTTCACAGTGTAACAACACTGGTGATAAACAGAACGTTTCACAGTGTAACAACACTGGTGATAAACAGAACGTTTCACAGTG